GGATTATGCGTCGTTACATACTTTCGAGCGCGACTGGTGTTACCGATAAGATATTCATTTAAAGGAGGTAAATTTATTCTTTATCGTTGTACTTTTATGGATCGTACACGTTTATCGTTACTGAAACAGCGACGAATTTAATTCTTTCAGACCGTTACGTAAATGAAATACCTTTTTTTTTCTTGCAACATGCAAATGTATGCATGTTGCGGCGAAAGTAAAAATATTACAATTGAGAATATGAGAAATAACATAAAATATATATAAATTATGCTTTCTAATTATTTTGATAGTCCACAATTCAAGAAAATTGAATTTCTAAAAAATGTTAACTTATCTATTGATGCGACGAGGCAATTGAATATAATTATATATTAATAATGAAGAGTATCGATTTGTTATTCTATAAATAGACTCTCGTACGTGAAAGGATTGATTAATCTCAATCGAAACTACACGTCTATATACGTCTATAAGAGCTGTACATACGCATGTTCATATATCTGTCATACGAATATCCATCACCGTCGCTTCCGGTCAGAACGTCGGCTCTTTACGGAAGCCACATTAAAGCACCGCTGCAACAAAATGCCAAACCCCATGTTGCCTTCTGCACGACGAACGCATTTATTCGCGAGAGCGAGTGGCTCAAAGGACGGCAAAGAGAGTTTCATTCGTTTGTCGACTCGTTCTCAAAAGTAGTCCCGGCATGCGGACTGCGGAGCAGGTACTGCTTTGTAGCTATCGTAATTATATATGTGTATGTGTATGTGTGTATGGTGTATGCATGAGAAAAAGAGAGAGAAATCGTTACACATACGCGAATCTCTGATCGTCGTGAAAACTTAACCGCAGCGCCAGTCGACCACAGAGAGAAAACCCGGGGGTGGTTCAACCTAATAATTCATCGCGAAGTCCGGATGGCACGTCAACTTTTCTTTTTCCGATTTCCCTGCAACGGCAGCAGCTTGCTATTCGATATGCGACGGTGTGCTCCAGGAAACGACGCCAGTAGATTCGGTGGTGGCTTATGAATAGCTAATTAATCCACGAAAACCGACGCTTGCGCGCTTGCCCGGCATCGTACGCTCCGTTAACGCCACTAAGCCGGCCTAAAACCATGCACTTCGCGGCGCGTTGTTTTATTCAGAGTAGCGGCACTTTGCCGAAATGATGATTTATTTAGACGTGCGCCACGTGCGAAGGATGGTCCAGGTGAGAGTGCACCGAACCGGCGCGGCGTGGCGTGGCGTGACGTGGCGTGGCGGCTCGTTGAACATTGTTAGTCGCTTTTACGAATCCTCTTCGTCGTTGATTTCTGACGCGCCGACCCTGCTAAATTTGCGATCGTCCACCCTCCTCGTTCGCGACAGTTCATAAAGAGACACGTAACGTACTCTTAAATCTTAGAAGAAATAGGACAAGGTGAATTTACCGTACGAGCGGAAACGTGATCAAATTAAAATTGTATATAAATGGAGAGACAACGTCTTAATACTAATGACTTCTAACTTGTGACAAATCAGCTCATCCTGCAGCGTTAATAATTTAATTTTAATAATTGTTAACGCCGTCGCTCTTTTTCTCTCAGATTATTTAAATGCACGCTTTATATCGATGGTCTCCATGTAAGGAGAATCTCGCAAACAGGCGCAAGTATGCGAGGAAACTTTTGGCACGTGTCAGATACATCCTTTCTCGCGACAGCCTTTCGACAACGTTGGCGAGACACGCGGGGGTGAACGTGAACGCAGAATCGGTATAAAAGCGACGTAACAGCCGTCGCAGATGCGCCGCCAATACGATAACGCGTTTTGACACGTAAAACTCCGGCAAATCGGCCTTCGTATTTCGTAGGTGCCGGAGCGAAGAGAAATGGGGCCCGGACAACGAAAATATACGACAAGGTGGCAGGTCGTAGGACGTGGAGGGGTGAGCAGGGCGTGCGTCTCGAGGAGGCAAACGGAGAGTTTACGGGCGCGTCTCTCCGGACGTGTCTCCTCGCCAAGACAAAATAAAGCTTTTCGCCTCGGCCCGCTTCTTCTTTTATCTTCTCTCCACCGAGCGAAATCTCGTAACCCCGTCGTCTCTCCTCCGTTCCCTTTGAAATACTCCTGCCAGACGGTAGACTCGAAACAGTACCGTGTCAAGACTACCTCATAGGTTCACTCGTCTACGTCGAACGTATAGGCAAATAAAGTATCCCGTCTGCTTCAATGGCACTCGAATCGTTATCGTCTCTTCGACTTACATCGAATATTAAATCGTCCTCTCGGAATTCGTCAACTTCTCGTGAAATTCGTTTATCGCGAGCAACAGGAAAATAGCTCACGAGCTATTCTTTTCCCGATTTCCGCAAAACTTCGTATAGTTTCACAGGGCAAACAGAAATAATTTTGATGTGTCGTTGTTTTCTTCCTGTTACGATATTCAAGTTTACGAGGGCTGGAGACCACTCTCCGCGGAGTTGTACCATTGAACGCTGTATCGGAAACTTTCGTGGATAAAAATGAAATTCTACCGACAAAAGTTTTATATCTTCAAACGCGCAATAAAAAGTTTGCAAACTTTAGAAAATATATTACCAATGATTTTCGATAAGAATAAGGATTTGGGAAATCCGTTGGGGCTTAAATCTATTGAAAGAAATAATTTTTAATTATCACAAGCGTAAATAATAAATGAGTTGAAAGACATGTAGAAATTATATGATGGGGTTAGTTTGCAATGATAAAATTAATAATAATTATTTCAATTGTACGACTAATTATACGTGTATCTATACTATTATTTATTATATTCTTAACAATTATATGAAACATGGCTCTTCTCTTATTTTGTAATCGTCTGTTTCGATTTCAGTATAATAAAAATAAACCTGTTATCAGATATCCGAGCTTAAAGCAGGCTAAAAGAGAGCAGGCTAAAAATTTATTGCAGGAATGAATTGCCTTGAATCCGATTTCACGTTTCGTGGAATGTTAAGTATTCTTTTTCTGGCCCGCGTAAAATTTGTAAATGTCACTGGAAACTTCGAGATTCGTTCGCATGCACGAACACAAATAAAACATGCCACCAATTTCGAATAATAAATTCGGTGAGTCTTTTTTCTGACATAGATACATTTATCAGCAAATACTTCTTTATTATATTCAACATTCTTCATTTTTCTATTATCTAATAATTTTTATCACTATTTCTTACTTTACAAGTAGGTAAACATATATTGATTAAATTAAATAGAAATTTATTTTAAGAATTAGATCAAATCGTATAATAGTGTGTAAAAATAGTGAAAAATAATGTAAAATTTATTATATCAATTAATGAAGTAAAAATTTGTTTAAACTTTAACTTTAGAAATTGCAACTTATAATTTTGATGGCGAATACTATCTATTTAAAGGCAATATAAATTAAAAATTTTTACTTTAATTACGAATCTAAATGTCGAACAATCTTATAATCTTAGTTTTTAATATGTTATTTGGATAAAAATGATTTATTTTACAGAAAATTAACTTCGATATCTGTGTCAGGAAAGATAGGGAATTTATCAATTTCTCTCATCAAATATAGTTGTACTACATTCTGTAATACAGCTCAGGGAATTCGATTGATATGCCGGTTAAACAATTAACATATTTATGTTTAAATAAACGTAAAAATTACCCAAACACACAAAATAAAACTGTTCAATCATTCCTATCTTAATTAGGTCGTAAAAAGTAGCAATTCTCTGGATCAATAAGAGAAAATTATTCATCAAGAGGTTAATGCAAGGCACTCGCTTTACGTGAGCACGTTCCTGCTGCGCAATGGGACGAAGATAAAATAAGTCCCTCTTACTTTTTTCCGCTGTTCGCAAGCTCGTGCATACGACGACTCTTTTTTTTATATCTGTCGCGCGTAAGCACGGTAGACAAGGCGGTACCGCGCCACCGGCTAGCCAAAACATTCAACTTGAACGTGAGCCAAAAATCTCGCCATCCCGCCAAAAAGATACACCTGGCCGACGTAGACAGTCGGGCATTCAAGAGACAAGAAAGAACGCGGAGAATCGGCAAGATAAATTCTTTTTCGCTCGAGTATTTTTTTTTCCTCTTTGCACGAGTAACTTGATAATTGTAAATTATTACGGATCATATTAACACGCCATTTCCAAGATTAAACTCGCAGACGTAGAGAAACAAAAATCATCATTAAGCCCTTTATTTATTAGAAAAAAAATCTTCGAGAGATAAATATTTATTTCAACGCAGGATATTTACTCAATAAAGTAAATAAGAGATTTTTTGAGTGCTATATATAAATTACGATTCCACGATAAATTATTGCGTTCTCGTAGTGTAAACAACTGCGCAGGAGAATAACTCAGTTTGTCGTTATCAATGTACATGAAATAACCGATATTTTAATTAAAGCAAAGCGGTCAGTATGGCGAAAGGAATATTTCGCGGTTATTTACAAAACCGTTTCACTCGACGTATTAAAATGCTTATAATTTTTAGAGTAAAAAAGCGTGCACGGCGTCTGCGAAATAAACGGCGTATGACATATTAACGTTGAATAACAGCCGCGGCATTTATTTACTCGCCAGCGTCGAAACGGCCATTATTACAATTCACACGGATCCCAAATAAGTTAACGCCGCCGCGCGAAACGCGTTGCAGCCTCTCGTGAATTTCTCGAGCGGACGTAATCCGCGATATTTAATAGCGGGCGCGGTTATCCCGCCGCGCCGCTTCGACGGAACTTAATATTCTTCCCTCTCTCCCACGTCGTCATCGCCGGATAATTTCGTCGTAGACGACAACGCGCACGCACGCACACGCCCATATCCACGCACACGCGAGCCAACGAACATCGTCCGTAAATATTTGCTACCACCATCATAGCTTATATTGTACACGCGACAAGCAGTATCGTTAAAGCAGGTTGACGACCTCGTCTCGTATAGCCAGTATTTAAATATATACATAGATAAGCTTTTTCACTCACCGTTTCCCATGGAATCGATGACGGTTTTCCCGACTGCGATCAATAGAAGACCAGAAGTAATTTCCCGAACGGCAGATAAAAGGACGTCTAGACGAGATCTACACGGTATCTGAAAGATTAATAATTAACGCGCTTTTCAGACACTTGAGTGATAAATATCGGATGAAAAAGATATGTTACATTATTATGAATATCAAGGTGATCACCGTGCTTTTTGTAGCTACATTTCCAACAAGAAGTAGAACAAATTTACCGTTTATTATAGGTGCATGTAAGTAGGATTCGCAAAAACCGAATTTTAATTAATAGATAATTCAATTTTTTTATTTTATCGTAAATTATCCTAGCAAAAAAATATTTGGATTGTTTTGAAGGAAATTATTATACAGAATGTGTGGATAGATTAGAAATAGATTCGACAAATTTTAAGTCCATCCTTCTTTAAGTCATAAAAAAAGTTTTCATTCAGATATCGAACAAGTTATTTGAAAAAAATTCGGAAAATCGGAAAATCTAGAAAATGTGACGCTTTTTACGAATACGTGGTTAGAGAACAGAATTAGCGGTCGTACGAACTCAACGAGGTGTAAATCCACCTGTAGCTCTAAGATCCGTTGTATAAATCACGCGGTAAGGAGACGATCGCGCGGAATAACTCTATGGATTAGCCACGTCCAGTCCGGGTACGGTATTTTCTATTCTTGACAAAAGGAGGATGAGGAGAACGAGGATCAAAGTAATATTCCCGAAGCTATAGCCGACAGAGACGTCTCCTTTGGAGATCGCGTATCCATGAAAGCGAAAGCGTATCATCCTCCTTTTTACGAGTGAATGCTGGGGAAAAGTATGTTGAATATATCGGGCGCACCTTGCAGATAACGGAGGGAAAACGGAGGGAAAAACGCAAAAAAATAGTTTGCTATCATACTACGCGCATGAATTCTGCACGATAATAAAGAAGCAGAATTTATGATGATGTTACGAGAGTGAATACCCTCTCCCTCCCCAAGAAAGTAAAGAAATTTTGCTCACATTGTAGTACGACAAACTGCTTGTAATATACTTTTCAAAATTGACGTGATCTATTGCATTTATTGTGATGTGCCTTTTATCCTCAATTTCTTAAAAAGTAAAAATAATTTTGTATCCACAAATACATCCACAATTTTGTACCCACAAATACATAAATTATTTTTATTTTGTGTTTAGTTGAAAATGATATTAATTGGCGAAATTGAATAATACCTTCTCTAAGCAAGAAACAGTCCATCGTTTATAATCCAAGAACTGACAAGAGTCTCTTTCCTTTTCATTCATATGTAAACAATAACAAATAAAATATTACGGCTGATGTAGAAAAACCGGCGGAATTGAACGTTTGATTTTTTAACCCTTGTCTGAAGTACAGACGCCGTGTTTCACAAAAGTTTCGTGCCGCGAAACGCGACGGCGTACCCATTGTGGCCAAGCAAAAGAACGTTAAAACGAGCCACGAGGTTCGTGTGACACGCGCACCTTTACTTTCATTCTACATTACGGCAGCGTTTTATTACTTACGAAGTCACGTTCGTCGCCTCGAAACTTAAAAAAGGGTAGGAAATTTTCATGTGAAAGTTAATTAGATTCATGACGTACAACCTTCAATATTGCGCATCGGGATTTAATTGTCTATTCAAAAAATGAGATCTTTTTCAAAATAAAATATGGAATATATTGAGCTGTAATATAATTAACTTTATTTATAATATCTATTTGCTCGGAGCTAATCAATGATTTGTTCAAACGTAACGCGCTAAACCGTAACAACTTCTATTAAGTGCAATCAACTGGATATCTGAACAGCTTTACAGAATAATGCAATAAATCGCGTATTTATTATTATTGTAGTAATTTAATCGCTTAACTGCGATATCATGGAAGCGAAAAGCATAAGCGAGCGAAACAGACGGAAATAAATTTCGAGCGACGTACAGCGTGAAGCCGATAGAGGGATGGCACTGTAAAGGGATTCGAAGTAAAATAACGACTGCGGATTTTCGCGCATTGTTTCTGATCCATTCGATTAAAAAATGAAACACTTCATAGATATCAGCAAACGTGACAATAAACTCAAGAATATCAATGTGTTTTATTTCGAACAAAAATTAGAATATAAAATAATAACAGCAATTAATATATACCTATATACGTAAACTAATAGAGTAAAGAAATATTATTTCTTCACATATAAATTGATTTAATTCTCATAATTAAAAATAGATAACGAATATACTTATTTCGTGAAAAAGTAGCCGCAGATTAAAATCTAATTTAATTCTTTGTCGATTTATTCGCGATGTCTGATCTTGTTACGCTTTCACTTGTGATAGATAATTTTCTCGTTATGCAGGTCAAAAACGAAGATACAATGCGAATTTCGTACACGCGCACCGCCATACGCGACGGAAAATCCCGAATTAGAAAGAAGGAAGCGCGCGGGATGCTCCACAGCCATCGTTAGCGGAGTAACGATAAATTAAATGCAATTCGCTCTCGTAAAATGCCCGTACCCGTTGCCCGCGGTGTCGCTTGATACCGCACCGAATCGCGCGGCTTTTATTCCCGAAATAATACCGCGAGCCTCGGACGAATAGTCGCGCGGGGGTGGATTTTTCTGCTTCACGAACATGCACGTCGCAGGAGGGTGGAAACGGGGTTGCAAGCCACGAGAGGGAGGAATAAATTTCGGAGGAACATGGTAAAGCCGAAAGAGGGATGGCTCTTTGCCACGGCGAAACAGAAAGAGACGTCGCGTAAAGAGGACGTGGGAGGGGGGAAGGGGGGTCTTTTCGGTTCTTTGTACGGAGCCGCGCGATACCCTGTATATTCGCGTTAACGCCGATGCGGAATTTATGGTCGAATAACGGCCGACTATCGACGTTACGCGCGCTTCGCTGTGATCGGCGGCGAAAAAGAGAGAAACCATCTGGGAAGGGTGAATATGCGGGGATCACGGGGACGAAGGGGAGGCTGGAAACAGATCTGGGGCGCCTAATAAAAACGACACAGTCCGGATGCTATCGCCGCATCCCTCCGGATCACACTTCTCGTAACGAATGGAAATCACTTCAACTTTACGCCCCACTGCCCCTTCTCTCTCTCTTTCCTCGCGAGTTATAAAATTTTTAACTCCTCGCTTCGAGAGTTTTTTGTAAAATATCCGACTTTTCAGTTGGACATATTGTACATAAAAGAATGAAAAATAGTTAAATAAATCTTTAACTTAACAGAGTTATATTTTGTGACACAATAAATAGGGCCTAATAAGGTAAAAATATAGAGTAATATAAAGGATATCATTTATGTGGAATATATTTCAGAATGCCCTAGTTTACTTTTTTATGACAGACTTTTGTGCAAAATTTAGAGCTGACTTTTTCTCGATAAACAATTATTAGCAATTCTTATATTGAACAGATCAACTTTAAAATAATTAAGCAAAGAATTTATAGAAAAAAGTGCAAAAATCTTAGGGACCGTGTAAATTTATTTGTACATAGATTTATAATATATTATTTATTATTCTTCCTCATTTTCTCTATGACTTCTGAAATATATGTGTGATATAAACATGTTTGAGATGAAAATCTAAATCTATAGATTTTGAAAATTAACACAAACTAACAAAATAGGTAGAAATAATTTTGTAGAATTAAACATTTTGTAGAAGTAAAATCTGGTTTGATAGGAAAAACTAAAGGAAATCGCAAATATATCAAATAAGCGTATAATATTTAAACTATATTTAAATAATCCTTAATGATCATTTTAGGAAACAACATCATGTCTCCTTTTCGGTAAACCCTGTTAAGGATGATAATGCAATTGCAGACACGACAAAGTCTTAATGTTTACGTCGCAGTAACATCTGCAGGACGTATTAATCAACAGCGCCGTTACTCAGCGTGCCAAGTGTAAAACGCGCGAACAATCCGAAGCGATTCGCCTTAATTAATTACGTCGCCTCGTGCATTGCGCGTTCCACACGCGCGCACGTGGAAACGTGTGATTTATTTCTTATGCCGCGCAACACGCGTCTTCATGGTGAACGCATCTCTCCGAATGGAAACATTTCATCAACCGCGATCTACAATTCTACCGCTTCGCACTTCAGAGACCGATGATCTACGATCTCACGCGTGTCGCAATTTATGATCAACCAAGTTATTCTGACTTTATTGCCATTGCTTCTCATATCACAGATTCTTAGGCAAACATATTTAATCTCTCGTACTAATTCTTCCTCGATAAAAATTCGAAGGATCGTCGTTTAAACGTCCCTTTTTGGTATTTCAAATCATAAATGCAAATATAGTAAACAAAATTGTGCAAATAAATTTTTACTGATATATCTATAGCTTACTTAAAAAATAAAAATTAGTGCTTCCTTGTTAGAGTTAGACATATATTATAGAATTGAAATAAATTTTGGATAAGATTATGTAATCCGTCTTTACATCGAAAACTTTAGTAATAAAGTGTTCAATGACGATTTAGATCACCACGGAATTAAAGGAAGTGACGGATGCGCTTGGAACATCCTATATAATTCCTCTCGGCTACGTCAGTGTTATACATTTATTTCCGCGCAGTCATATATCAAAAGCAGCGCGGTAAATGATTGTTTCCACCGCTACAAAAGCTTTACTACTGCGAGGACCGAAGTACGGCGATTCGAGCGGTCGTCCCGTGATCGGTGGGCAGTCTCAAGGGGTAGGATGGGCAAAGGAGGACCACGATGGTAGGTGGCGGAGAGCGAGAGCGAGAGCTCGCAAAAGTTAGTTTCAGTGACATATGTGGCCAACGCACGTGGATGCGGAAGTTGAGCCGGGTCTCTCGCCTAGAACCTTCCGCCGGGCCCGGGCTCAGCCAGCCCGTGCTACCTGACATTTCCACCCTCTAACTACTCCAGCCGTCGCTTAAGGAAATAGAGCTGTCCGACGCAAGCACCGCGATCCTACGCGCCGCGACGAGCTTTCAAGACGTGCCAATAAATGGTAATCGCGACAAAAATCCGTTTTTGCCATCTCTACCCACCGCAGCTATCCTGTCAGTCGTGTAAACAACTTC